ACTGACTTCTATAGGGAATGTCTCTAGTTGTAGTGAGCTGTAAGGGGAAGAAAGCTTGAAAGATAATCCTCCAGATTCAGTCTAGGAGACCATGTGTGGGGTTGTGTTTACGGCTATAATTTATCACTCTGTGGTGGAGACCCAAAAGTCCACCGGTGAGAGAAAGGCCCTCCTGTTTGAGGCAGGCCACATGTTTTTCCTGGAGAGCAGCGAGAGGGATCAATGAACCCACAGGAGAGCAGATCTACCACACAGCCGAGCCGTGAAACTCGGAGGATGCTCCTCTTGCAGTCCCTTTTACGAGTTCTACTTGGAGCTATGTGTGGTCCAGCCCCGACTTCAGTTCCCGGTACAGCATTACTTGCTTGGTTAAAAAGACTTTTTTGGAGGGAAGAACCCTGGCAGTTTCTTCCTCACAGCCAGCATTACCTTACCTTCCATGCCCTCTTGAAATGTATTGAACTAATTGACGAGTTTTTAAAAATACCTATCTGGAATGCAATATATTTGTTCAATAAATCTCCATACTTCTTTCTGAGCAAAAATGAACATCATTAATCCTACTTTACAAACTGGGAAGCTGAAAGACAAAGAGGCAAAGTAATCTAACAGAGACAGTTCAGAGCACAAAATACAACTGGGTTCCTTGTGGCCAGCACAGGTCACACAGCTGGAGGCTATCTCAGTGGCCAAACATCCCTCTTCCAAAAAACCTGACCTTACATCTCAGGCTAGATTGGAAAAATAAAGCATAACTATCAAAGGCCGAATTCCAGCCTCATTCCAACACACTCAGTTGAGTGTTCAGGCAACAGAGGTTAACACTTGCAAAGATTTTTATGGGGGATATTTTTTACCATCGGATTTGTGGCATACAAAGGCATGACATCTCAAGCACTTTCAATAATTGCGTTATATTTTACAGTACCAAATAAAAATATAGCAGTTGGATCAACATTATATTCGTATTTTATTCCATAAATAAACTCCATTGGTTTTGTAAGCTGGTTGCTTTTACTTCCAAAATGTACAAATAAAGATTTAAATATTTTTTGGAGGAAACATTGCAGATGGTTTTAGTTCTGCAGTTTTGATGCAAACACACTTCTTGGCACCACTTCTTAATATGCCATTTCTATAAATACTTAATGCTCACAGAAGTGGAGTAAAATATATATTACAGTGAAAAAACACAAAAACCAGTGTTATAATCAAATTTTTAAATATTGCTCTTTAACAGGTAAGCTTGCTGTATAGATTCACTATATAAACAGGAATAGAGTTCTTCAGAGAGCTAAAATATTGGTCCCTTTTGGTATGTTAAGTATTAATGCAAAACTGCTGCTGCTATGATTATGTGGTAATGCTATTTCAGCTAGTTTCTAAACATAACAAATAATAATATTCATTTTTCTTTACTTCAAGGATTTAACTCACAGGAAATCAATTAAGAGAATACTTCAGAGAAATAAGTTTTCCAGGTCTCCTAAAGCTGGTTCTATTGCTAGAGAGACGTATACTTTTTAAAAGATTAAGATAAATAATATCACTGTAATTCAGTATTTGCATTAAAAATTCTTAAAATTATTCCCTCTGGGTAAGCTGACCAAAAGGTGATGCTCTGAAATAGCTGTGCTCCCTTTTAGACTGTTTTTGATTACTTGAAAGTTGCCTTAAAATGTCAATTGAAATATAAATGATCTTTCTTTATATAAAGAGCCAAAGATAAGAAAAATACCTCCAGGTAATTGAGATAACAGTAAATTTTATGGCTTATCTAGCAGTCAAAGGCATTCAAGATCCCATTAGGATGATGGGCAAGAGAATCCTTTGTCACTCGGTGTTTCTTTGAAGGAGCTGGTCCAGTAATTGCTAGGGGAAAAAAAAAAATATGCAAAAACGTGTTAAGATACCGTTAAAATACATGAAGTGTCTGTAACTGCAGAAATCTTCAGTGATACCGTAGGCGAGATGGCGTTAGCATTCTCAGACCTAAATCTACTGGCTACATTGTTGAAAAAACCCCAAAACACTGAAAGCTTTTCCATCTTGGAGAGGAAGGGTGTAATTACATGGAGGAATAGCGCACTTAAACAAGGACAAGCCGGTACTTGTGTGCTGATTACCTGGGAACGCCTCGGATCTGCACCTGGATTAACCATGCTAATACACAGCTTTCTACCACAACTAATTACTCATTTTTAAAAAAAAAACAACCCACAAGTCTTGAGCGCTTATTCCAACACAAGGTTCAGCTGTTAATTCACGTTTAAAGAAGTGCCGAACCCCAAGGACAAGATTTAAAAAAAACATCCTGTGCTCTCAGGGTTTGCACATGGTCAGCACAGGCCCTCCCGGCAGGTGCTGCCTCTACGGACCCCTTTTGCAGGTAAAGAAGGGTTACAAGGCGATACTGGGCATTCAGAGTAAATCCGTACCTTTTTAAAGATCTCAACACGCAGTCTGTTGGTCTGGATGATGAGCCGCTTCTGTTTTTCTTCTTCTTTCTTTTTTACTTCGGGTAAATTGTCATAAATCCTGGAATGAATTTAGAAAGTTAACTTCACACGTCATCCCGGGGACTCGCAGGGAATTTGCTTTTCCTATAGGAAATGTTTGCCTTCAATGCAATACTTGTCATTCACGGGCATCTCTAAGTACTTGAATTAGATTTATGGCACAGGAGTTATAAATTATGAATAATAATGTTTTTATATAAAATCTGACTTGTTGAAAAACACTTCTAAGTTTGGACTAAGAAGCAAAGAAAGAGACGGGATCAGGTTATCTCAATGCAGCAGCGTAATTCTGGAGGAGCTTCTAATGAGCTCAGTGGAGTTGGTTTCAATTTATAGCAACATAATTCAAACCAGAATCTGGCCTGTACGCTTTTTTTTTTTTATATATATATATATTTATGTCACAAAATTAATACCAAGCAATTATTTTCAAGTATTTTTCCAAAATGTAAGAAACCCATCATTATAAGACTGTAGGCTGTCAACATTTTTTCACTGTTGAGGAACTCTTTATACCAAGGGGAACATAACAAGCCCATTTAAAAAAATAATGTGAATTTCCCTTGAAAAGGTGACTTCTGGTCTGATCTTTTTCCATTGAAATCAATGATAAAATTCCCAGGGGGTTTAAAAGAAAGTCGGACTTTCCTTTGCGGCAGTCCTGTTCTTTGCGTGCATAAAATGCCTGTTAGTTCTGCTTTTTCCTCCTACTGTTTTGCAATACTGAGTTCTCAAAGCAGCCTCCTTTGGCTTGCACTCAACCAGGAGATTGTATGTGGGAAAAGGGAAATGAGCACTCTTGAAATCTTGAGCACTCTAAAAAAGCGGGGGGGAATTCTGCCTGGTAGCCACTTGCAGCTTGCCCTGCTGTAAACGATGGCATGAAGGGCAATGCAGTTAAAGGTCAGACACCACATTTCCAACGGTTTGCTGTAATTCCCACACTACAGGATGGAAAAAAAAAACACCCAAAGAGACTGTACTGCTTACATTTTTGAAGGTCCAGCATGAGGTATCTCTCAGGGACTTAGTTTTCACATCATGGATACCCCATGCCATCTAAAACTGCTAGAAAAAAGGATGCCAGAAAGGGCAGGGCTGACCCAAACGTCTCAAACACATACAGTGGAAAAAAAAACCCATGAGCATTGCACTAAAGCATGGCTAGCAGCGTGACAGAACAGCCCTCCAGTGTAGGAAGAGGACATGGAAATACACTGCCTTCGGTGTGAGATGGCACTGATTCGCGGTGAACCCTAAACCGAAGCGATTTGTACCTTTTAGATCTCATATGCATCTCCTTCTCTGGAATGAATCTTTCCTTTGGCTTGAAGAGGTTATCTAGCAGAGGGAAGAAACCCAAAGTTAATATTGGAGGAATCTGCGTTTACTGAAATTTGAAATGTCACATTCCGTGTAGTCATGATATGATATTTCTGATTAAATTTTTGACGGCTTAAGGCCGGATCCAAATCTCCAGAGGTCAATGGAAAGGCATTTAACAACTTCATCTGGAGCTGAAGCTGCCCCTACAGAAGGGGAAGGGTGGATACGACCCAAAGCAACCACCTTCATTGCAGAGTTCAGTTATTTTAAACGCATATGACTTCTGCCATTGCCACATGCAGCTGTGTACGCTCTTTATTCAGATCAAGAACCAGCGATGATTTCTGCTGTATCGAGTGATCTATTTTCCCCACGTGCAGGCAATTGCACCCGCGCGCACTGGCTGCATCCTCAGCTGATGTGTGTGGGGAACCTGGCCTGGTACGATCATTTCTGATTCAATTTACACCTGTTTTGCAGGGCTGTGAATAATTATGCCGAGCGTTAGGAGGAAGAAAATTATATTACTCTTTCCTGATCAAATATAAAGATATCTGTGGTAATTCTAATCAGCATTTCCCTGGATACGGGAAAATAATTACCGATCTTAGCAGTCAGTGAGTCTCAGGAATAGGTGATTTTAACACCTTCCTTGCAAAAACAGTGAATGGGAAGGGATGGTGCTCGTACAAGGTGGGAAGCCAGTGAATGTGTAACCAGAACTGATTCTTGATGAAGGAGACTGCATTTAACAACATTTATCAGGGAGATGGGGAAGGAGAGCTGCCTGCATAGCTACAGTATTTAGATTTACACCAAGTTGATGAAAGAAAAAGTGGGGCGGCAGGGGCAGGGTCATAGAATCATAGAATGTTTTGGGTTGGAAGGGACCCCCAGAGGTCATGTAGTCCAACCCCCCTGCAGTAAGCAGGGACACCGCTAACTAGACCAGGTTGCTCAGAGCCCCGTCCAACCTGGCCTTGACTGTTTCCAGGGATGGGGCCTTCACCACCTCTCTGGGCAACCTGAGCAGGGCACATCCAGAGGAGGGGACGGAGCATCCCTGCGGTGCGCGAGCTGCTGCCCTAGTGCACACAGGCGACGCGGGGAGTTGTAACTTGAGGTTCTCCGTTCAGGTGTTTAAAAGAAATGGGTTTACGTTCTGGTCCCTGAACACAAGGACAACCAGAGCATTGCCTACACCCAGCCAGGTCCAGGGGGTTTCCCCGGGGCCCTGAGGACAGGGGTATGACGCCCTGTGCAGTCACAGTAACCTGAACATCAAAGGGATTTGCCAGTATCTTTGCAGAACACATGTATAAGACAAATACATGTGAAAACTTTTTAGTGCTTCCATTTTCCAAGGAACTTTAGGAGACCTAATATATATCACAGCAGGCACCACGTCGGCCTCTTTCTGCCATCTCACTGAAGAGACAAAATACAATAATCAAGGCGGAGAAGTAAATACAGAGAATAATTTGTTCCAGAACTGTCTGGTGCAGACGCTGGCTGTGAGCAGACCCAGCGACCAGTGCCCAAAAAAAGACCCCTTCCCCACCAGCTTTGCTTCCCCGCTGTTTAAGACACCGAATGCTTCAAGGATATTTATGGGAGATGTCTTAACAACCAAACAATCCCCAGCAGCTTACAGGGCTACACAAAACCTACATGTCCTGTTGTATCTCGCTGTAAAAATAAAAGGGAGCTTTGCAGTGGTTCCTATTCTGAGATGGTACAGTTCTGAAAACACAAATTGATAAAGGAAGGGAGGCTGCGAAGCCGCCTCCGCCTGAGGACTAACTTTTCTCCACTCAGCAGTTGTCTACGCTTAATCATGCTTGTTAAATCTTCAATACACACAAGCAGCATGCTCAATTTGCTAGGAAAATAATTTGCCTTTTATTTATCAGTGGATTTTTGTCCACTTACGTGTTCATTAACTTAAAAAGAATAAACACTTGGATGCTATTGCTGTTCAAAGAACCCTGAAACTTAAAGGAACAGATTGTCTGTGACCCAGATGGACCTGGTGAAGGACTAGGGTCCAGGGTCATTGATTTTCTGGGACCAGTGTGGATCCCAACACCCTTCGGAGCAGCCTCAGCATAGTCCCTTGAAGCCTGAAGTTGCACACCTCATTCCGACAGCTCAGGGTTGCAGGATGCACCCCTTCCCACATGGCATGTCCCCTAACCCAGAGGATGGCATGGGATCAGTCTGAAATCATATAAAGCCATCACCGTGGGTCCTCTGCAGCGCTAGAACAAAACCAGGAGGCACTTCATGCAGCACAGCAAATTCAGGCATCTTTTTTGTCTGTGCGGTAATATGGTCCTCGGGGCGAGATCCCCTGATATCACAACCAGATCCTTGCGTGCTCCCCTGTCCTTGGGCACAGAAGAGCATCTGAGGGCCCTGGAAATAACACCCCAGCAGAAACCTGCCCTCCCCGCACCAAGCCCTCGCACAGTGAGCCAAGGCAGACCTGCCGCAAGGTGCGGTAGGATCAGGCGGCGTGACCGGCAAGCGCTGAGCCTGAGTTTTATATGATTTCCTTTGCACTGCGAGTGACATCCGCTCCAATTTATGAACTCTTATTCCAGGAATTCTCAGATATAGGATTTCTGGAACAAAATTAATTGTTTTAGTGATCCCCAATTTTTTTCTTAAATAAAAGCTGTTAATGACACATCAACATTTCCAGACCTCTCTGCGTAGCCACCAGAACATGCAAGGGATGAAAAACCCAGCCGGGGATCCGCAGGCCTGCGACCTATCTTGTAAACAGCGTGACAAGCTAATCTGTATTTTTTCTGCGAGACGCTAAAACAGGCTGGCCTCTGTGTTCGAGTCAGCGGGAAGCACAGCAGAGGCCGAGAGCTGTGCGGGTGCCGGAGCGTACGGCTGTTCCTCCAGAATAATCCCCTCCCGATGGCACAGAAATGGTCTTGAAGGGCATCAGACCCATCACTGCCCGCGATTCTGCCTAGAACTACATATGCGGCTGCCCCAGTGGGCTTTGAAGGGAAGGATTAAAAAGAGACTCTGGGGAAAATCCTCCAAGAAAAAAATAAAATTTGGTTATAGAAGTACCCTTTGTGAAGCAGCTTAGAGCCTAAAGGTTAACACTCCGGGGTAAGCATTCACGTAGTATCTCTTGACTCACTCTCAGGTCACTATGTATAAGAAAAAAGAAAAATCACATGCAAGCATCAAGCAGAAACAAGGGTTGACGAAATTTAGGGTTAGAAATTAAAAATGAACTGAAAAATAAATAAAAATTGCTATAAATGAGAAAATAAAAGTCATACATGCATTTTAATATTTGTTAATATTCAATACCGAGAAGAAAGTGTATTTGGAATTGGAAGAGCAGCACACATTCAGAGCTATAGTAACCTGCCAAACACATCGTGAAGACCTGAATTAACATTCTTTCCTACTAAGCGAAGATCAAAGTGGGGCATAAGGTGGACAATTCCCAAGGTTGAATCTTCTAAATTGCATTTTATCCAAGTTCCTTATCAAATTTCATAGCCTTGTATTACTCTTGGAGAAAACTATTCTGAAGGATAGAAAAGAAGGGATTTCAAAGCAGACATCCAGCATTTCCAGTGATGCACCGCAGTTAAAAAAAAAAAGTATAGCAAGCTAGGCATGAAACACTCCACTGGTGTTTTATTCAAACCTTGTGAAACTTCGGAGCTTCTGGTATTTACACCAACGCTGTGTGCAACAGTGGTCTGGCATCTCCATAGTGGGAGAAAGAAGCCACCTCAGGAAGTTGTGAATCATAGAATGTTTTGGGTTGGAAGGGACCCCTAGAGGCCATCTAGTCCAACCCCCCTGCAGTAAGCAGGGACACCGCTAACTAGATCAGGTTGCTCAGAGCCCCGTCCAACCTGGCCTGGAATGGTCCCAGGGATGGGGCCTCCACCCCCTCTCTGGGCAACCCCTGCCAGGGTTTCACCACCCTCACTGTAAAGAATTTCTTCCTTATATCTAGTCTAAACCTACTCTGTTTTAGTTTAAAACCATTATCCCTTGTCCTGACATGAATGAAGGTAAATGGGTCACCACTGTAATACATTTTAACTAATATTAAACTGCGCCTCAGACAGGATGAGTAACTTTCCTGCTCGGGAAGTTAGTAAATGTTTAGACAGAGAACAGGTGAAATGATTGTGTTGGAACCATCTCCCGACTTCCTATTTACCACTAAATCGCTGAAACACTTGAAAAAGAAGAGTGGCAAAATTTATCAAAGGCTAAACTCTGCCTGTCAGAATATACATACATTTTCTTCTAATATAAATACATTTTCTCCTAACATGAATGTAAACTCTCAAAGTTTGTCGGGAGCTAAAACGTGCCCTAAAGGATGAGTTGCCAGTCCCTGAAGAGCAAAGCACCGACAGTGGTGATTCTCTAATTAAACTGCTTTTTTACTGAACTGAAAAAATAATTCACCATTTGCCCAGAGAAGTCCTAAGATACAAGTGATTTTTTTTTTTTTAAAATCAACAGTCCCCTAAAAAATAAATTAGCCTTGAATCTAAGATAAATGTCGAGGTGGCATTCAGCTTAGCATGCCCATAGCACTTGACTGGGAATTCATCCAGAGAATATAAACTAGCGCCTACACCCAGGGGTGCTGCCCAAATTTTTTGCACGTTATATGGCAATGACTTCATGCAATGAATTACTTCAGCTTCATTCAAGAGATGAGGTTCTGGTATTATTTATAAAAACTGCAATAACCCATTAGTTAAAGGTTTGATGGTAAGACCGCCTGGACTTTCTGTTCATCTCCGAGAAATGCTGAAGCTCAGAAATGGTCCTTCACCCAAAGAGGAGCCACAGGAAGGTGGTTCATGGGCTTTCCAGCTGCTCAGGTCTGTCCTACACTGTGGCTGTTGAACTTCTCCTCCTCCTTACTATTTCAGTCTTAACAATGGAAAACACCACTTGTACCTTTAAAAAAAGCTGCAAAGTTTACAGGTTTATGAAAA